GCTCTGTCTCTCTCTGTCCCCAAAAAAATAAACGTTGAAAAAAAAAATTAAAAAAAAAAATTAAAAAAAAATAAATAAATAAAGGTTGCAAGTTCAACTAATATTCTTTGAAAAAGAACTTTTGAAAGACACCTATTTATTTCACAGAGAAAACTGGCCAGTACTCTTGGCTTAAAAACATGGTAAACAATAAGGCATCCAAACAGCATCAAAAGGAGAAAGAGAACTAGAAGTGACCTCCTAGAAAAGAATTACCAAGTTACAGTGCTCTATAGAAGAGAAGCAGGTCTCCCTCGTCTCTTCTCCTATCTCATATATGATTTATTTCTCCTTTGTTCCTGTTACTTTCTGAATGTTGTGCATAATGCTGCACAGGTGTGCGCATGTGCGTGTGTATGGTTTTTTCCTATTGTTTTTGTTTTGGTTTGTTCCTGGAAGTCTGCAAAGGTCAGAGGCAAAGGAATTGGAGAACATATCACTAAAACTCTTATTTCTCTAAAACAAAAGAGACCGTTTACATTTAAAAGTTATAATAAAAAAACTTATAATTCAACAAACTCTATTTAAATATAATATTAAAGTTTCTTTTTAAAGAGCAAATTTAGGCATCACAGAGACATAAAATCTTAACAAATTCTTTTTTATATCACAAACACATAATCTAAAAGATTACTGTATTTTATCTAAGAGTAAATAACAAATAAAAGATATTTTAAGACTGTCGGCTAAGCAAGATTTTCAAATAAATGAGTTGAAGGAAAACATCCAAATGACAAAAATTAGTTTAAAAAAAAAAAAACTTTTTTGGGGGGGGGAATCCTTTTATCTAGAATCTCTTGCTATCTGCTCCTAGTTGAAAGCCTTATAAAGAAAAGTGTGCTTTAATGTCAATTTCCCTAAATGTTTGAGCACCTCTTCTCAAATTATTCAAATGGTAGACCTTTGGAATCCATTCTACAGTCTTCCATAAACAGAAAACAGCAGTAACAACCAAAAATACCTCACATACTCAAAACTGAGATGATAAAGATAGGTTTCAGTTGGTTGACATTGGAAGACAAAAAGGAGGAAGGAAAAATGGTTGAGTTTTGTCAGGTACAAATAGCTAGTTTATTGCTTCCTCCTCTTCTCTATCTCTCATGTGAGTGAAAGGGGTGGAATGAGACCGCGGAGTCGATGTCTAAACTTTTATAAATGGTTAGGCTGAAGGCTCCTGTCTCCTGAACGGGCCCAGCAACTCAAACATGGTACTGCTGATACACAGCAACCCATCATACTAGAGCCAACACATCTGTAAAGCAGGCAGTCTTCCTATCTCCCTTTGTTTCTCTTCCTACACTTCAGTCATCACTGCCCTTCCTTGGCCCCCGTATGCTCTACTGTGCCCCCTAACCACACGCACCTTTAGCCTCCTCTGTTACACCAATTTCCCCAAAGTCTCAAAACTCTCCTAAGTTGCTTCTCTTAAAGTGACCAGTACTCCACAGTATCCCTCCCACCTCAGTGAAAGCCCAAATCCAAACCCTATCCCATTCCCCCTCTTCCCAGACCCCTGTTAAAACTATTACTCACTGCAAACATCTCAGAGCGTACTTATTTCATTACACCAGTGTATACTAAAGAGGGCATGAAGTAGATTTAAATTTATGGTTTAAAAAATATTACTAAAAACTAATATGCACCATGGGGATGTACACAGCAGAAACCAAATAAATTATAAACCCATATGAATTTTCTTCTGGCAGAGTATGTGGTGCCATTTTTAAGCTGAAGGTGAGTTCGGTCAGTGTGTCTCTTCCTGATCAAAACCAACAGAATCCACAGCTTGATAATAATAAGTTCTCATTCATATCTCTCCTGCCCATCACTTTCCTTCCAAGTGTTTCAGGTAGCTATGCTATATACCACACTGCCTCAGTAGAAAGGTAGAAAAAGAGAAAGAAAGAAAGAAAGAAAGAAAGAAAGAAAGAAAGAAAGAAAGA